CCCAGGCCGGTTTTGGGGTCCCCAGGCCGGTTTTGGGGTGATTTTGGGGTCCCCAGGCTGATTTTGGGGTGATTTTTGGGTCCCCAGGCTGATTTTGGGGTGATTTTTGGGTTCCCAGGCTGGTTTTGGGGTGATTTTGGGGTTCCCAGGCTGGTTTTGGGGTGATTTTGGGATGATTTTGGGGTTCCCAGGCCGGTTTTGGGGTCCCCAGGCCAGTTCTGGGGTGATTTTGGGGTCCCCAGGCCGGTTTTGGGGTGATTTTGGGGTCCCCAGGCCGGTTCTGGGGTGATTTTGGGGTTCCCAGGCCGGTTTTGGAGTGATTTTGGGGTCCCCAGGCCGGTTTTGGGGTAATTTTGGGGTCCCCATGCTGGTTTTGGGGTGATTTTGGGGCTCCCAGTCTGGTTTTGGGGTGTCCCTCACTTGTAGATGCTGACGTGGGGGGACAGGGGCCGCCCTGAGCGCTCGTTCCTGTCCCAAAATCGCTGCATTTCCTCCCGCGCCGTCGTTCCCATCGGGATCACCCTGCCACACCACACGGGCCTCAGCCCAAAAAACCCCAAAAAACACCCCAAAACCCACCCCAAAACCCAAAAAACCACCCCCAAATCCACCCCAACACCCCAAAATCCACCCCAAAACCCCAAAAACACCCCAAAACCCACCCCAAAACCCAAAAAAACACCCCCAAATCCCCCCCAACACCCCAAAATCCACCCCAAAACCCCAAAAACACCCCAAAACCCACCCCAAAATCCCAAAATCCACCCCTGAAACCACAAAATCCACCCCAAAAATAATAAAACCCAAAAAAAGCCTCTCAGAAAGTCCCAAAATCGCCAAAATCCTAAAAACCACCCTAAAATCCACACCTGAAACCCCAAAACAAAAAAAATCCTCTCAGAAACTCCCAAAATCCCCAAAATCCCAAAAAACACCCTAAAACCCACTCCAAAATCCCAAAATCCACCCCTGAAACCACAAAATCCACCCCAAAAATAATAAAACCTGAAAAAAATCCTCTCAGAAAGTCCCAAAATCCTAAAAAACACCCTAAAATCCACCCCAAAATCCCAAAATCCGCCCCTGAAACCACAAAATCCACCCCAAAAATAATAAAACCCAAAAAAAGCCTCTCAGAAAGTCCCAAAATCCTAAAAAACACCCTAAAATCCACCCCAAAATCCCAAAATCCACCCCAAAATCCCAAAATCCACCCCAAAATCCCAAAATCCACCCCTGAAACCACAAAATCCACCCCAAAAATAATAAAACCTGAAAAAAATCCTCTCAGAAAGTCCCAAAATCCCAAAAAACACCCCAAAACCCACCCCAAAAATAATAAAACACGAAAAAAGCCTCTCAGAAGCTCCCAAAATCCCAAAATCCACCCCAAAATCCACCCCTGAAACCACAAAACCCACCCCAAAAATAAAACCCCAAAAAAGCCTCTCAGAAAGTCCCAAAATCCTAAAAAACACCCTAAAATCCACCCCAAAATCCCAAAATCCACCCCAAAATCCCAAAATCCACCCCAAAATCCCAAAATCCACCCCTGAAACCACAAAATCCACCCCAAAAATAATAAAACCTGAAAAAAATCCTCTCAGAAAGTCCCAAAATCCCAAAAAACACCCCAAAACCCACCCCAAAAATAATAAAACACGAAAAAAGCCTCTCAGAAGCTCCCAAAATCCCAAAATCCACCCCAAAATCCACCCCTGAAACCCCAAAATCCACCCCAAAAATAAAACCCCAAAAAATACTCTCAGAAAGTCCCAAAATCCCCCAAATCCACCCCAAAATCCACCCCAAAACCCCCCAAAAATTCCCAAAACCCACCCCAAAAACCCCCAAAACAATAAAACCATAAAAAAAACCTCAAAAAATTCCCAAACCCCCAAACTCCACCCAAAAATCCCCAAAAATTCCCAAAAATGTGCCCTAAAACCCAAAAAAAACCCCAAAAACCAAAACAAAGCCCTCCAAAATTCCCAAAAACCCCCAAAATCCACCCCAAATCCCCTCCCAGTCCCTCCCAGTCCCTCCCAGTACATTTCCAGTCCATCCCAGTCCATTCCCATTCCATTCCCAGTCCATCCCAGTCCATCCCAGTCCATTCCCAGTCCAGCCCAGTCCCTCCCAGTCCATTCCCAGTCCATCCCCGCCCCTCCCAGTTCATCCCAGTCCATCCCAGTCCATTCCCAGTCCCTCCCAGTCCAT